TGTTAATATGCGGTAAATCCCGGTTTTTCCGAAACATTTACGGTGCATCTTTTTTGAACATTTATTCAATTTTTCAAATAAAGTCAGCAGTAAACAGCAACTCGTTAATTTGCCTAGCAAGGGTGGGAAATCACGCGTGGGCGGCACGAAGTCTTTGAACGGATTGAAATCGGTCTAGGGTCGTTTCTCGCGCGGGTGTCACGAACATGCCATAACACTTGCCAAGCTCAATTGATTTTGCAGATATCACGCGTACATCATCTATATGATTGATGAAATGCTATTGGCTAGCTTTAATCGCTCATACATTGATTTTGTCTGTGGAGGCTGAAGGCTTTCTAACGCTTAACCCGAATCTTGTCGCAAAACGCAAATGTATATATGCATTTAAAGTATAAAATAATGTGATATAGGAGGTATAAAGGTCTAATAATTCATTTGGCGTCATGCATATCACGCGCATCAAGCCTTCACACTGATTGGTTTAAACCGTTCATGAACGTAAAATACCTAAATCGTTCGAACGCTTCTGATTGAACGTTTATTTATCCGTTCGTATTCTCGACTTAAAACGTTCAGATTTTTAGTTAAATTCGTCAAAACGTTTTCTAGATTCGCTGAAACGTTATCACAGATCGTTCTCTAACCGTTCGTTTAGCCGTTTCAACGAAATATCGTTAACGTATGTTTTCCCGTGGAAAGTCACAATTACTTGGGCTACCGTAGCAGGTAGAGCGAGTTAAAAAATTGGCCTGCCCCCCCCCCCTTTTGCGTCGCGAGTTTACGAAAATCACGCGGGGCTGCACGAAGTCTTTGAACGGATCAAAATCGGTCTAGGATCGTTTCTCGCGCTGGTGTCACGAACATACCACAACACTTGGCAAACTCAAGTGAGATTGACATTCATGCAGATATCACGCGTACATGATCTATATGATTGACGAAATGCTATTGGCTAGCTTAAGACACGTGTTAGAATGTGATTGCCTGACAAAATAAAACAAGAGATGATTGAACAAATTCGTTAAAATTTTTTGTGGCGTCCTCCCGTGCGTCTGTCCTCTTATAGATCATGGCTCTCGACCAATTAAATTAAACGTTATTATACTATAGGGAGATGCTAAGCATCATAGGGCAAGCCTAAGTATGCAAGAACAATGAGAGCGAGGTAAAACATGCGATTTCATTTCGTGTTGAGACTTCAAGCGTAGGTAGAAAAGCTTGGCTTGCGAGGTTGGTTGAGACTTATTCGCACAGTTTTAAATTCCTGGAGTTAATTTGCATGCTCATTCTTTTTTTTAATAGAGCTACTAACAACGCCGCTTTAGATTTGACTTCTGCTCCCGCTACCGCTACGAAATGTATTGACTATAAATGTTGGGAGTTGTATTTCTATACGTTATCTTGCCTGATGCCTGAGGCTCACATTCTCGCATGCAAAGAGCTTCTGGAACAGGGTATCATATTTGATAATTTGTTAAAACAGTAAAATATTAATATGCAATTGAAATCATGAAATGGTCTTCAGTTCAATCAGTTTTACGCATAAAATATTGAATATATAATATAAAAATTGTTGAATGGTTTGCAGAGCGCGCGCTAGAAATAGCAGAGCCACATAAATGGATGTCATAAAATGTCAAAACATTCAAAGATTGGAAAAACGTGCAAATAATGCCAATAGTCCTAAAAGAGAATTACAGGCAGAATATTCAGCCCAAATCAAATCGAAATTTTGGGCTTTCCATTAGAATTTCGAAAGTAGAAACCTTGAAAAGTAGAAACCATTCATGCAAAAAAAACATTTACACATACAAAGTTATAAATATTTGCAATAACGTCTATACTCGTACTCTTGGAGACTAACAGAATTGCATCAGTATTCAGCAAAAATCAAATTAAAACTGGGTTTCGCACTCAGAAATTGATTAAAGTGGAAACAAAAGTATCTGTATTGTAGTCTTGAAAAAATCTTCTCTAAATCACTATATAGGTCTACAGGAGTAAAACTGAAAGTTCTCAAACGGTGCATCCGTGTACATACGCACCATAATGCATCGCTTTTGAGCTCGGTTGGCCACCAAAATATGGCCCTCGCTCAGGCTCGCCCCAATAAACCTAGCAACTTAATTTTTTGGCATTTCTGAGAACAAGGTTGTTCCAATCATAAAGAATTCTCAGATGTCATCATCGCAACGACGAATTTTCTGCATCAAAATGGAGATTAAACGGTGCGGACTCTTGGCGACCCATACTATTAATTGAAAGAACGTGAAGAAATTACATCAATTGTTTCTCTTAGATTTCATATTTTGTACGAATCTTACGTTTTTGCATTTCTTACAACAAGGTTTTTGCAACGCCAGTGAGGCTCCATTTGGAGTAGAGGATGGAAGAATAGAGAATTTTCAGATATCATCATCAACTGAACAAAATGGATTTTCTACATCAAAAGGGAGTTTAAACGGCGGAGAGTCTTGGCGTCCCACAAATAATGATCAGAACCAATGGCTCCAAGTCGATCTTCGCAAAAAGGAACTTGTTACAGCGATTTCCACTCAAGGTTATGGTAATAGTTGGGTGAAGACTTATTCAATCTCTCACGGTGTGGATAAAGAAAAGCTCACTTCATACAAAATTAATGCAACTCAAAAGGTGAGCAGCAAAATAGTTAATAATCTTATTATTATATTATTACTGTTCAAAACAGTCAAAGCCAATGATTTCTTTAGGTTTCTTTTGCGAAAGGAACCTGACACACAATTGTTACCACTCTTCTAGGTTCCAAGTTCCCTCTAAATTAGTTCGAATCACTAACTCTAGAGCTATCGTGAGACTACTTTTTGATCTAGGGATGAAAATTCAAATAAATCACCACAACTGAAAAAAGTTTGCAAATTTTGAATATTTTATTACCTACAGCGGTTGTTAACACCCCCCCCCCCCAATGTATCTTGTCTGTCGTGATATATTTTTACCAATTATATAATTATTTCCAAAGGTACTGTATAATGCAAATGTTTATTTCATCGATCATTTATAATTTATAAAGGTATTCGCTGGAAATTATGACAAGAATTCTGTCGTGACAAATCTTTTATATCCAGCAATAAATGCGCGTTTTATTCGCATACACCCAGTGTCTTGGTTTAATCACATATCCTTGAGAATCGAAGTTATTGGTTGCTACACAGGTAAATAATACTTAACATTGAGCATGTCTGACTTTTTTCCAGTCTCTCGCTCACCTTCAACACGCACGTAGCAAATTAACTTCAACAAAGCATTGGATTGCGGAAAACTGGGAAGTGTAAATAATTATCTTTCATGATAATATCCAGCTGATCCGAGCATAAAAATCCACCAATAAAAAGCCGGATCCTCGACAACTATCATTTCCTTCATTTTACATGACGTCAAAACTGAAAAATGTGAAGTAGTTCTATCATTTCCATGCGGAAACACATTTGTTTTCCACTTCACTGTAAGTTAGAATTTAAATTTTCGCTCTTTACATTATTAATTAAAAGAAGGGGAGAAAATTACTTCGGGTTACTCTCTTAGATATTAGGCACGTATCTTACTTTTTTGCATTTCTTACAACAAGGTGATTGCAACACCAGCGAGGTTCCACTTGGAATAGAAGATGGAAGGAATAAGATTTCTCAGATGTCATCATCAAGTGAAAACTATGGATATTCTGCATCAAAAGGAAGATTAAACGGTGCAGACTCCTGGTGTCCCACAAATATTGATCAGAACCCCTGGCTCCAAGTCGATCTTGGCAAAAAGGAACTTGTTACAGCGATTGCCACTCAAGGTTCTCGTGGTAATAGTTGGGTGAAGACTTATTCGATCTCTTACGGTGTGGATGAAGAAAACCTCACTTCATACAAAATTAATGCAACTCAAAAGGTGAGCAACCAAAGAGATAATAATCATATATTATTATTATTATCATCGTACAAAAAATCAGAGCTAATGACTTTTTCGGGATTTTTTACGGAAAGGAAACTGACACACAATCGTTACGCAATATCCCTCTAAATTACTTTCAAATCAAAATAAGAATGAAAACTCAAATTAATCACTACAGCTACAAAACGTGTACTAAAATAACTGAGTTGTTAAAAAACAAGACACAGAATTCAGGTGATATTCACAATGACTTTGAAATAGTCACTCGAAATATCACCTAAAATTTTTGTCTTTGATAAAAACTGGTGTATCTTGCTTTTACCAGATGTTTATTTTCGGTTGCCTAAATTAGTTCATAATACAAAAGGTCAATTTTATCCATCATTTATAATTTATAAAGGTATTCGCTGGAATTTATGTCGGGGATTCAGTCGTGACAAATCGCTTATATCCAGCAATAAATGCGCGTTATATTCGCATACACCCAGTGTCTTGGTTTTATGACATATCCTTGAGAATTGAAATTATTGGTTGCTACACAGGTAAATAATACTCAACATTGACTTGTTTCCAGACCCTCGTTCACCTTCAACACGCACGTCCACAATTAGCTTCAAGATAGCGTTGGATTTTGTTTGAAGTGTCGGGTGGCGTGAATTATTACCTTTTAAGATCATAATTATGTGGCTAGAATTTCAATGCATTAACACCGAGCAAATGCCTGAATACACTCGAGCATCAAGGCAATATATAACTAGAAGGCATTCGGAGACTGCATACCTCCGCCAGTGTTACTGAGCCATAATAAACGTCTTAATTATGCGCCTCATTACGCATTCAGTGAGTTTTTCTTAATTGACCGGGAAGAGCAAGACAAACTTTTGTTCATTTCTCGTTCAATTTTTAACTAAATTCAACCAAATTTTAATCACTTCTTCCTTTGCCGATGAGAAATGCATTCCTAAAATTTTGTACGAATATATTCGGTATTTTTTGAGTTATCGTGCTCACAGACAAACACACACACATACACACACGCATACAAACCCAGATGATTACATAACCTCCTGGCGGAGGTAATAATGGATATTGAGGTTTTTGGCTGGAACGGACGGGGTGGGGGAATGACGTAGTATTAGGTTTTTAGGATTAAATTATTGTGCATTAAAATTACGGCAGTGAACTTTGGTATATTAGAGATACGTTTAACGATCTATTTAACGACATAACATTTCGTGAAAAATATTTCTCTTAGCTTGTAACTCCGATTTCACACATTATATAATTGATCCTGATTCCATTTTTTTACTGACGTTCGATCCCAGTTTCCTTTCTCCATTGTGGCATGAGCTGGTATGTAACATTAATTAACTTGATCTCTTCAAGTGAACAATGTACGCAATTATCGAAAAAGTGAATCTCTTAGATCTTATATACGTTCTTACTTTTTTTGCATTTTTTATGACAAGGTTCTTGCAATACCAGTGAGGTTCCATTTGGAGTAGAGGATGGAAGAATAAAGAATTCTCAGATTTCATCATCAACTGATGAAAATGGATTTTCTACATCAAAAGGCAGATTAAACGGTGCAGACTCTTGGTATTCCACAAATGATGATCAGAATCATTGGCTCCAAGTCGATCTTGGCAAAAAGAAACTTGTTACAGCGATTGCCACTCAAGGTTTTGGTAATAGTTGGGTGAAGACTTATTCGATCTCTTACGGTGTGGATAAAGAAAACCTCACTTCATACAAAATTATTGCAACTCAGAAGGTAAGAAGCAAAATAGATGATAATCCTATTACTACATTATAACAAAGAGTACAAAGAGTCAGGATATTATTTTTTTAGCGCCCTTTTCTTCACTCTCGCAACATTCCCGCGTGTTTTAATCAGGCCATCCAAACACAGAAACCATTAAGTAATTGTTTAATCCAGCGCAGCTATTATTCAATCAGATAGCTATTAACTTTTTACTATCTTTTAGCAGACAGTTTCCAGAGGGAAATGAATATTTTTTCTGCCAATGTCCTCATTCTATGACCTAATTGCAACACTCACCGTTTTTCCACAATCTGACGAAATTTCCTGAGATAATGTCACAACAAGGGCTTCTTTTACACCGGATGTATAAAAAAAGAAGACCTTAAACTCTTGTTGTAATTTAAATTCCTGGTTAATTTTTCGAAATCCACGGGTGCGCAAACATGCACAATCGAATAAAATGTAATGCATGGCACGAATTATTACTGCTCATTATTTTGCAACAGCGTCAGTGTTCAAGGTTATGCTTTTCACTGGTGAATTTCGATCAAGAACCTTTCTCAAAACGTGTTTTATACCACAGCTGTACTTTACATCTGGATATAAGTCTGGGCGATTAAAACTCTTTTTTTGCCATGTATTATTGTGCAGAATTTTGCTTCGAGAAGTTACGTCAAATTCTCAGGAGTAGAAAAGCTTTTCTGCCTGCAAAAAGATATGTAATATATGCACAAACCTGACAATATTTTACACATCCAAAGGCTTACCATAGTGATGGGACTTTTAAATTATAACAATTGATTAATTTCTAAAGGTCTTCTTTTTTATACACTCTGTAGTATATTCGCTAAAAAATTTTTGCCTCTTTTTTCATCATTCCCTTATACTGTGTAAGGACGGTCTAATGTAAATAAAAAATCTTACCTAGTATGACGATTCATGGCATTAATTAGCCATTTCCAAATCGAGCAGGGTACTGGGCTAATTGCTGGATAATACTTGAACGATTATGATCTGAAGTTTTATACATAATGTCACGATGTGTCAACATGGGTGAGGTTTATGGTGGAATCTCTGGTTATACATTAGTTGTGTTACAAAGTGTTACATTAGTTGTTGGCTCCTGCGCGGTCGGTATGTTGATTTTAGAATTACTTGATCCAAATTAGTGGGTAAAGAACGCGACAGTCAATCCCAATCGAAAAAAAATAATACTGTATATTGCCATTCAGTCAACGACAAACGCTTTTAGGCAGAGGCGCCTGAGCCATGGGGCAGAGAGGGCGACTTCCCCATTTGTCTTAATTCTGCTTACTGAAGCATGCTAGGGCAATTGCGCTTTGCCACCTTGCTTCTGTGCTACTGCTTTGAAACTTAGGTCAATCGTTTAAAATTTAATATAAAGAGACCAAAGTAAAATATGAAATAGTGAAAAGCGACCATTCAACATTTCCTACCAGGTGTTCGATGGAAATACGGACGAAAATTCTGTTGTGACAAATGTCTTATCACCAGCTGTAACAGCTCGTTTTATCCGCATACACCCAAAGACATGGAACAGTCACATTTCCTTGAGAGTGGAACTTTATGGTTGTCAAAGAGGTAGGATTAAAAGCAGTGCAGGCAAAAGTTTGCAAATAGTAATTGTACATTTGAACATTTTCCTCTTCATTGCGTTTTTCTAAAATACACAGAAGAGAAAGTGTGAGAATTTTCGACAATTAACAAGGTTTTCTGGCCTACCAATAGACGTTCTTGAGAAAAATATACTGATGTACCTTGTTGATCTGATAATGCACCAATTGAATTTTAACCTGGGCACGGTCAGGATCTCGTTGCAAAACTATTGGACACTTCTTTTTACGTCATTAAAATTCACAAACTGCTGCTCGCTGTAATCATAAGAGACTTATTAATTTAATCGTATGCCCACATAAGTATAGGGACAACGTTTCCTTTTACATGATTATAGTTGCGTTTTGCAAAAAATCGGTTACCACTTTGAATGGTACAGAAGGTAAACAAAAGTCTATATGTCAGGACCCCATGATGTTTGCGCATGTTTCGCTTTGCGTAATACAAAGAAATTTATTCGAAAAAATTCGTATTTTTACGAAAATAGATCATCATATCATATTGTAAAAAAGGTAGGGCAATTGATTGCACTTTTTTGGCCCGTACTGGAAGGTATATAAGAGTATAATTGTTTCGGCAAGAAATAGTTTTTTATTACAAATGTTTAGTACTAAACGAAGCGGTTGTACGAAGCTCATTTGGCCCAAACAGTGGTTATATTAGCTGATTAGCGGTAGTTATTAATTTCTTTGAAACTAGTCATGTATATAGCGCTTGTGTGGTATGCAACTAGTCTTATGACTTTTATCTTGTATATTTGGGAGGTGAATAAGCATGTTATATTAAATTTAGATTTATCTGGTTTCGTCCAACCGGCACAGGTTTAAATTTTTAAAATACTCTCTAGTGAATGCAATTCCTTGCAAAGCTGGTTAAAAGGCACTTGGCGTGGAAGATAAGATTAAAATTAAAGATTCGCAATTGACGTCTTCGAGTTATTTGAACAAATTTACCTCAGCAGCAGGTGGACGATTGTACAATATTAGCCAATGGAGAGGAGAATGGAGAGCAGGATGGAGAGCAGAAGTAAACGACAAGAACCAGTGGATACAGGTTGACCTTGGCAAGAAGGAAGTTGTCTCAGGGATTGCCACTCAGGGAGGATATTACTATTATAAAAATTCTTATCGCTATCGTTGGGTGAAGACCTATTCTGTGAAGCATAGTTTGAATGGAACAACATTCGAGTCTTACAAAGATGAGGGTGATGATAAGGTGAGAATTATAGCACTACGTGGTTACAGTGCAGTTAATAACCAGAGAGGTGCTGAAATCACCTAACGCTCGCCTGCACTGTTTGTCTAGAATAAGGCTAAACTCTGTATGAAAGGTATCTCTATGAAGCACAAATTACCGATCTTTTTATTAGAAATTACAAGGCTAAAATCCGCTTTGGAAGGTAATATTAAGCACAAACTTCAGATATTAGTTGTGACCTCAGAATTACTGGCGAAAACTGGCCTCGGAATTACATTAGTTTTATTTGTGACCAATATTTCTTCCGCTTCTCGCAATCCGCACACGTGATATCAACAGGTAAGTTAACGGACCAGGCAAAAGTCCCTGCTTTAAGCCGGGCGCACACACAACGATTTTACGGTAGTTGGTCCATTCAGGTTTAGACATATAGGCAGCCTTTGCCCAGACATGTTTTCCTTCTCGCGGCGCTCGCGCCTCGCGCGTGTACCCGAGTCTACTTGGTCTAATCTGACCAAGTATAGATCGCCAGTCGCCACATTTTGATAAAACAGCCATCTAGACAATCTAGACAGGAATCGGCCGACTAAAATTGTCGTGTGTGCGCCTAGCTTTATGAAAAAGACAAGATTGGATTTTTATATCTACACAAAAAAGGATTATGCATCAAACAACGAAAAGGTATGTACATAAATCTTATAGGGCCCTGTCTACAAATACAATTTAACTGGCTTTAATAATATATTTGCATGTGTATCTACATAAATAATATGCAAATATATGTCACATGCGTTGCCATTTGCCTTTGCATTCCGAGCCTATCGGCTTTCTACTTATAAATACTTATGTGCTAAAGCTTGTAATTGCGAATTATCTGACAATATTCTTTAAACTTTAACGTTGGACTATGTTTTATATATATTCACTCCCTGAATGATTTCTATATTAAGCGATTGAATTTTGATACGGCATGTCACAACACAATCTCATAATTTATAATCGTACATGTACAATACAAACATATGGTAGCATACAGGTGAAAATATTTGAAAGTTTCTCATTTGGCTTAGGGTTGTACAAATACTTTCGTTAAATATGATTCAGCTACAACTTTGAACTAAAAAAGACAGGGCTACACAATAGCCCTGAAAATCGTAATGAGCGTGATAACTCTGGATAACTCTAACATTGACCTTATCATGATGCTAATAAGCTTAACATTTGCCTTATCATTTCATAATTTTGAGCAAAGCTCTCTTTATTATTGTATAAATGTGTACCAAATGGCACTGAATAGTCACAATGCATATCGATGACTTATATTTATGATGATTCCTCTGATGTAAAGCCATAATATTTAAAAAATATAGCATCTTAACATTGACCTTATCATTATGCTAATTAGCTTAACATCCACCTTATCATTTGATAATTTTGAACAAAATTCCCATTATTTTTGTGTAAATGTGTACTAAATGTCACCATATAGTCACAAGACATATCGATGAGCTATATTTATAAAGAATCTTCCAATGCAAAGCCATAATATTTAAAAAATATAACATCTTAACATTGACCTTATCATTATGCTAATTAGCTTAACATTCACCTTATCATTTGATAATTTTGAGCAAAACTCTCTTTATTATTGTATAAATGCGTACCAAATGGCACTAAATAGTCACAATGCATATTGATGACTTATATTGATAATGATTCCTCTGATGTAAAGCCAGAGTATAGAAAAAATATAGCATGTTAACATTGACCTTATCATTATATTTTGTTGTATAATGTTCACTCCCCCCTGGTAAATGGTTCTTTTGCAACAAATAGACTCCTTAAGTAGATAAGTTGAAAATAATGGGAAAATAAAAGTGGCATCTTAACATTCTACTTATCATGTAGTGTGGACGCGGACGGGGACGGTGACGGGGACGGTGACGGGGACGGTGACGGGGACGGTGACGGGGACGGGGACGGGGACGGTGACGGGGACGGGGACGGGGACGGGGACGCGGACGCCAAGACTATAGCAATAGCTCTCTTGCACTAAAGTGCAGGCGAGCTAAAAATAACAAAAATACCGTTAATAAAGTCTTCGGCCAGTTATTCGAAGGGTACCGGTGGCTAGAGACATTTTCTCGAAAATTTTTGGTGCACATTTTAAACAGGGATATCAAGCATCTAAATATTTCGCTAGAAGGCTAAAAGTTAATATACTTTGCAGGAAACATATCTTGAGCAAAAGTGTATTCAAAACTTGTAACTAGCACCGTTACCAGAACGTTTCAAAATAGCACAAAATAGCGCAGAAACGTTTCAAAATAGCCGCCAAACACTGTTATATCGCAAACAAGTTTGGTGACCCCCCAATTTTTTTGTATTAAACGTTTACGTTATATGTGCTTTATCTATTAAAAGGTTTTAAAAAAATTATGTCATGGGGATTTTTTTGGGAAACGTCATTTTAGCTTATTAAAAAAATTTCCAAGGTAGAATCTTTTTAATTTTTTTTTATAGATAAAACATGTATAGCGTAAACGTTTAATACAACAAATTGGGGTCACCGAACTCGTTTGCGATATAAAAAGGATTAAACCCTATTTTTTTTGGGGGGGGGGGCATTTTTAGACGTCCCTGTTGCCATGGTAACGGGTGCCAGGCACAAGTTTTGAATAGATTTCTGCAGCAGATATGTTTCCTGCAAAGTATTTTAACTTTTAGCCTTCTAGCGAAATATTTAGATGCTCGATATTCCTGTTTAAAATGTGCATTTAAAAATCTCAAGAAACTGTATCGAGCCACCTTAAGCGGTGGACATGCCACAGTTAAAAATACTCTCATAAATTATCGCATACAAATGAATCAATTATTCACTCTCTATAGTATCAACAAACATTTAGTTATATTGGCTCATAAAATTTGCTCATATCACCGGGACATTTATCCGGGACATCGCTTTGGTAACGCTGGCAAATTGAAATATTGAGGAAATATTTACAAAACGTCTTGTAATGGTGGATCTTTTGTCTTGTTGTCTTGATCTTTTGTCCTGCTTGTAATGATTTTGAGTCAGTCTGAGTCTGACTCAGATAAGACATGGTTTTCCCATCAATACACATGAAAATGTGTAAAAAATAACATAAGTCATAAGGAACAATATAAATTCCCTCGTATTTTCATATCACTGTTATATGAAAAAGGATTAAGAGTAATCAATATAAATTTAACAAATTGCTCGTGATTTATCTGTGATTACCGTGATTTTATATAATGTATATACAAGATCAAGTCAAGCTGATCAACACAAACAATAAAATACCTGACAACTTCTTTAAAACCATTCTTTAATAGACCACATGAACACAGCTTAACCACAGCTTAACCACATGTCCCATTTATATCTATATTTGGACTATTCCACACGGATATATATTAAATTTTTACGCAAAAACAAGTTTCCCAAACCATATTTACGACAGCTAGCAGAAAGTTTGAGACATTATGTAATATGAGACGTTTTTCCGAAGCACGGACCGTTTACGAGCAATGCCGACTAATCCGATCGAGGACTCTTCGGGTAGCAATCGGGTCATCCTCGCTCCCAGGCGCTTTAAATAAAATAAATATAAGAAGTTAAGAACACTTCAGGCTTTAGTGGGATTTGACCAGTAAACACGTTTCACAGTCCAATTAAGAATTTTGAGATGCAACTGCATCACGAATTTTGAGATAAAACTTGTGTTGCCCGCTTCTTGTAACGTCCCTGTAGCGACCAAGGCATTTCATAAACAGCTTTGCGCTCGAAAGTAATTTCCTAGGTAACCAAATTCCTTTTACATCAAAGCCC